GGACTCTGCAAAGCAGCAGGACAGTCACACACGCATACACACACTTCACTTCCTTGAGAAAGAGATAGAAGGCAACAATAGAAAAAGGCTGGTTTTAGCCAATGTATTCCTAACAGGTTTTCCCTCAAGCACCACACAAAAGCTGCTCCTTGGTATATCCATCTTGATCTGCAGGAGTCTCCTTCTAGCGGCGACAGCTGGCACTGCAGACTTCACAAGCAATTCCCATGCAAATACAAAAGATGAAAGGCAGAGAAAGCCTTTGGATGTCTTGAGAGCAGAGAGGAAAGGAGACATTTAAATAAACAACATAACGGTGTAAGGACTTCACAGTGTTCTTAATCAATGGTTCTATTCTTGCCAACCGTCAGAATCCTCTGGCTGCAACATCTCTGAGATTATTAGGAGAGTTCTGTATCTAAAGCATATAGAGGGATAGATAGATTACAGCCCTGGCAGATGCCATCTGCTTTAGAGTGAGAAACTTCATCTAAACAAATACATAGCACCACTCCTGTTCACACACAAAGAGTTTAGGAACATTCTCTGCCTTGCCCCACATATTTCTGGACTTCAAAATAGATGTCAGAAGAATCAGAACCAGTGGCCTGACCTTCTTATCCTTCACATTAATCTGGCCTTGCTGGGCACAGACGGAAGGAGCCTGCGTCCAGTCATCTGCTTCTGCCAGCCTGTCTGTAGAAAATATCTTAAGTTTCCACAATATAGATTGGAAACTGAGGTTCAAAGTGGCTGAATCATTTCCCAAAGCTTGACAGATCATACAGCTGGCAGTTTTGGTCCACAGATCAGCATGTTTCCCTGTCATTCACCCTTCAGGAGCTTTGTAATACCTTCATTTCTTTTTCAGCAACACTGAATGATTTTTCCTGTTCCTTTTTTTTTAGAAAACACTAGGACAGCTGTCTCTTAAAACTATAATCTTTAGAGGTGTTGGTCACAACTTCCATCATGCCCTTGCTGATTGATAATGATGAGCATGGTAGTTCAGCACCTCTGAGGGGCACCAAAATGAGAAAAACCACATTAGGCTGCACCTCATACCTGACAAGCACAACACACTGCCTTAACCACTAGTTTCTCCCCTTCAGTCCCATGATCACTAACACTTTTGTGAAATCTTTTTTCTGCCAAAGAACTTATTCACTCTGTGCTTCCACCTATGAACCTTTATGTTTCACAGACGTCAAGTTTGGGGCAGACTGAGTGGGAGGAAATATGAACTATATGAAGACAGAAGAAAGGGCCTTCACTTTTGAAGGAATGGTTGGTTTTGAAGAGGACTCGGCTGAAACTTGATTTTATCTAAGGCTGCTCTTAGGGTGCAGGATAGGATGAGCCCTGCTATCTGTATTGGTGGAAAACCAGAAAAACACCCGAACCCCATTTCTGTTCAGCCTTCCCCTCCATTTGTAAGCCAAGCTGGTTAAGAGATTAGCACTCTAAAAACCACATTTGCTCTAATTAGCCATGAAATCTTTGTAACTAAATGAAAAAATGTTTCCCTTGAGGGAGCTTCATCCATTTGCTACCACTCTTTCAATGGGGTGGGAGAATACCAGGAGGGATTATTTTTTTTAAAAAAAAGAAAAAATTCAGATATAATGGATGAATTCCAGAACATGGGAGGGATGTATAAACAGAAATCTGCTGCAAAATACAAGTCCCCCAATTGAAGAAAAAGAAAAAAATAGTGCAGAAAAAGGGGGTTCTTTCATGTATTCCCACCCCCACCCTCTGGCCAAGGCTATGACTAAATGGATGGTTGGGAATTCTTTCTAGTTAAAACACTGTAACATGATGCATGGGATCTCTATCATTTGAGTAGCCGCTTGGCTAGCAATTCCTGGTTTTCCCATTTGCAATGATGGACAGAACTACATTGAACCCCCTGGCTATGCGTGTAGACAGCTGTGTGCAGCTACATGAAGAGACAGCTGGGGAGGGGGGATCAGAAAGAAGGGCTCCGTGTTGAATTGTTTAAACATTATTTTACTGTGGGAGACAGGGAGGGGAGGTTGGCAAAGCAAAGGGGAATGGGGAGGGGGGGGGAAGAACCTCACTGCAACCTAAAGCCATAAATATTTCATGTCAGTGGAATAAGGACGATTATATTCCTGCCAGCGCCTTTCTTGTGTATTTTAAACGTGTCACCGCCTTCTACTCTCTCTCCCTCTGTTTGTGTGTTTCGTGTAACATGCCCATGAAATAAAGATTAGCTGAATAATCAGAAGTGTTTGGAAATGGGGAAAGGGCCTGTCTCAAGAGTACCAAGGGCTTGAGTTGGGGGAGTGAGAGCTTTTTCTCTCTTTATTACTACTAATATTCCTTAGAATGATGCCCAACAGGCAGAGTGAAACATTCCAGAGACTGAAAAGAGAGATCAGGAAAGAGGATCGGAAAGATAAAGTTTTAACATGTGTGTAATTGCTTAGGAGTAGATGGACAGACATAGCTGGGCAATGAGGGGCATGCACTTTCAGTATATGAAGGATGAGATTTTTTTTTTTTTTAAAAAAAGAGAGAATGAAATAGAAGAGTAATATGTCTTACATTGTCTCCAGTGGAGTCTTGCAGACAGTGGAATGCTACAGAGAAGGTCTACATTGGAACAGTTACAAAAGTGAGGAGAGGCAGAGAAGTGTGGTATATCAATAACTATTATGGTCATTCTGGAAAAATAATTCATTCACATTTATCACTGTGCTTGGAGAACCACTATAACAAATCTGGAGAAACATGTACATCACTTTTATCACTGCTTTTGAATGTGTCATGTTGGCACTGGAATAATGATGCTGGAACTCTTTGCAGCATCTTCCCATGTCAACCTTAATACATTACCACAAAAGATGGGGTGTACTTACTGCTCCCAAAGAGCTAGCAGCTTAAAATCCTTCACATAACTGAAATCTTAAGGTTCCTTTCAGCACTGGACTTCTTATAACAGACTGTTTCTGAAAGACCCTATGTTCTGTGTGCCTCTACAACAATCTCACTGAGAATATTCTCGCCAGTTAGCTGTAGTGAAAGCTAGTTTGTTCCACCTTAAAGTTAATTTTACCCACCAGAGTTAAGGAGCCAAAAGCATCTGGAACCCTTTCTTTGCTAAACTGAGTTCTGGGTTTGTTTATCGCTCTTTGCTTGATTTTATGGCCAAGGAAATTCTGGTTCTTCCTCTAAATAAATGTCCTGACTCTTTGGGGAGCAAAATAAAAGCATTAGGTGGGGGGAGCAGCAGAGAAGAAGGAGAGGAACTAAGTATTTTTATCACATTTATAGAAATGCTCGGATTCTAAAATGCTCAAATCCTCTCTTTTTCTATAGCACACATGTGCTGCTAGTTGGAATAGGTTAGGGAAAACTCTACAAATAAATGGTATGAGTGATATGAACAAAAAAGTGACTTCATCTTTTTGCGGCGAGTGCTGGATGGAGTCGGAAGAGATGCTTACTTTGTGCTAAACGTTCCATGCCAAGCCCAAATGTTGTACTGAACTTTATTGTCAACTGGATAGTACTTCTCATGCAATGCTGATGCTGTCTGTTTGCATTCAGTCAATCAAACAATATTGGAAGCACTACTTTTATGGAGCCCAGGGATTCACAGAGCTAGCCAAGGGGAATGCAAAGGAAAATTAATTGTTTAAGGTATTGACATTGTTGGCTTTGAATTGCATTTGCTTGGTGTGGAATATAGTCATCAGTCTCCTGACCATAGAGGAGAAGTAGGTCACTGACTTTAACGTGGTGAGACAGTGTGTGTCATCAAGGAGGCTGTCCAGTCAATGAGAACTCATAAACTCCAATCAGTCAGAGCTGTTAAAGTGACCCATTTCACTCACAACTTACATAAACCCTGAGGAAATGCTAATAAACACCATCTGACCAAAGGGATGCTATACCACACACAAATGAGGCACCTTTCCTAGTTTTTCCTCCTCTTCACACGCTGAACTACTTAAAGGAGATCCATCTTTGCTGTTAACCACAACATCCAAAACTGTTCATCTAATACCCCTGTGTGCTGTGATACAAATGTTTCACTTTCCACATTCTTCAGAAACGCAAAGTTTGGGGCACCGAAGACAAAGCTCTCTCCTGGAAAACTGTCATCCCCAGATTAAACTGTGCAAAAGCAGAAGCAAAATTTCAGTGCCCTGCCTCCTTTGCAACAGACAGAAGAACCTGAGTTGTAAGATGGACAGGATGCCTGTACGCAGCAAACGACTTCGGGGTTTGGAGAATGCAATATGCTTACTTAGTGCTTCCTCGTGTGAAACATGGATTCATACAACTCTGCCGGAGATGTAAGCCTACGAAATGTGCTTTCATAGAAATCTACAACTGGGGTTGAAAAACTCTGCAAAAACAAACCCACTTCTCTCAGTGGGAACTTTTTTTTCATTTCTCTTCTTCTAAACCTGTTTGCTTCCAGCAGCTCACTCGTCTCCACCAGATGCGTCGTGGGCAGTCGGCAACCAGCACCTCTGTCACTTTTATTGCAGAGACAGAGGTTCTCGGTCAGCGGAATCCCGACAGCTTTCACCTGAAGATCTCCCGCAGCTCGAGGAAAGTCTCTGGGGAAATGAGGTTTGCTCCCAAGAGATCTGTTTCCAAAGGGGCATGCCCGTGTCTTGCCGGTGAGGGAGACACTGTTCGTCTATCTCAGCTTCTTAAAAACGACCCCAATTGAACATGGACCGAGGGACCCTGAAGGGTCAAGACGGAAACCACATTCCGTACTACCTCCGCCACGGAAAACTGGCCGAAGAGGTAGATGGGGCCATACTAATGATCCCAATCACAACAGGAATACCTTCCTAAAATAAAACGACACTGCCCTGTTGTGCCACAAAGAGCATCAAGGGTGGGATAGAGAGGGGTGGAAGGCGCAAGCAGGAAAAGTGGGAGCCGGGTCGCGGCGGAAGGCATCGGCATTTGCCAGCCTCGGCTGGTCGCCCGGGTCAGTGACTTACCCACGCTCAGGAACAACTCGCGCCTCTTGCCTTGGGCGAGGGGGCACCCCCTTTCTCCCCACCTCTCCGCGGCCGCCGCCTTCACCGCCTCGAAATTAGGAAGAGGGAATCCACCCCGAGCCGGCGGCAGGCAGGGAAATCCACAGAAGCCAGTCCCTCCCGCCGGCATTTATCGGTATTCCTCAAGTCGCGCCGCTCTGCCTCGGATCGGCTCCTTCTTGCCCGCCCTTCAGTCAAGCCGTCCGTCCGTCCCTCCGTCTTCCCGGGGGAAGCACCCCGAGGCGGGCGGGCGGGCGAGCGCGCGGACTGCTGGATGCCCGAGATGCGGCTGAAGGGGGGGGGCGGCGCGTTGGCCGAGCGCCTTGCCCGGGGGCGGGCTGTGCCCACCTAGCTCGCGCCTGGCATCCACGATTCCCGGCAGGCTGCCCGCTTGGCTCTCCCTTCAGACTGGCATTCCCTCCGCGGATGTGGAACCTGCTATCCCCCCCCCCTTTCCCTCCCACCACGACCACCTCTCTCACGCACAGACACACAGACACACTCAGCCAAGCCCCCTCAGCCAGCCAGCCAGCCTCCCTCCCTCCCTCTCAGTACCAGAGGAACTGGGAGCGCACACACTCCTTCCTCCAGCTCGCGGCTGCCACTGGGCAGCTCCTCGCTTTCCCCATCAGCGGCGGCGGCGGCGGCGGCGGCAGAAGCAGGCTGCCCGCGAAAGCCGGCCTCCTCCTATTACCATGTAGCTCATTAACATACAGTCGCAGGGGGTTAACCCTTCCCTAGCCGGCGCCTCAAATCCCAGGCCTGCCCAATTTGCTGCAATCTCTTCGTCTTCGTCTTCTCTTCCTCCCCCCCCCCCCGCGGCGCGCCATAGAGCCGA